CTCCAGACTGATCCACTGGAGAGTGTGTAACCCCGACTTGTTTTTATCTCTTTGTGATGACCTTGTTCATGTTTCTGTTCTCAACTGGAGAATTTTTCCCAGCTAGTTCTCTGTTGCCCGGAAAGGACTCTTCCATCAGAGCTACTGGCCTTCAATGTAAGGCCCTCTATTTTCCTAGTCTAGGAAGGTTTCTATCACAGAAAGTGAAGACACTCATGAAATGCATAAAGACCCTGGCAACTTGTCCCTTCTGTTCTCCCACTATCAAGTGTTATTAAACAGCCCTGATTCTCTTCCTTGAACAATACCCGGACCAGGGCCACTCCTCATTCTGACATTTAGGCAGAATAGTGTAAGAATAAAACAAAAATCTTCAGTCTAGTCAGGGTCACCCCTGTCCTGCCTCCTCCAAAAATTTCCAGAACTTCATAAATGGAAACATACCTTTACAAACTAAATGGGTATTCTAACAAATAAATAAATACAGCCCTGCACCTTGAGCAAGGTCATTAAGTCTTTGCAGTTTTTATCTGGAAAAAAATAGAATATGTACTCCTTACTCAGAGTGGAGGCATCCAAAATGTTTGGGACTGCTTTATTCATAACCTTACTAGGGCTCAAAGGGTATGGCCTGGAATATGTTTATGCCTAGAGATGAAAATCTGATTTCTGAGCTTACCTGAGCCTGAAAAATAAGAATTCCCTATCTAGCCCTGATTAGAAGAATCCTATAGTAATGTATATTTCACAAATGTCTCTCATTTGTAAAATGTAATAATTTGGTTATTTAAATTATTAAAAAAAACTGAGTCTTTATCAAAGAGAAAGATTCTTTCCTTTTAAATCTTCCAATTATCAGTTTGATGAGTGAATAATTAACTGTAATTCTGTTTTATAAAAAGTGAGTTTTTAAAAATAAGGGAAATTACACAGAAAAAAATATAGCACTATGTAAAAAAAGAATCTTATGTAATAAATTTATCCTGAAATAGAATGATTGTTTAAGAAAGTAAAAGGCAGTGCAAAAAGTTAAAAAAAATAGAATGTTTATAGATTGTCTGTATAGAATGAATGAAGCTCATAAAGAAATTTTGTAAAAAAAATTTTATATAATCCAGTTGACTATGTATATTTTTTAAATCTTTTAACTTGTAATCTTATTTGAACAAATGTTTTAAAATTTTGATATTTGACAAACCTTCCAAAATCAAAACTCTAAATTTAAGGCTTGGTACTCATAACACAGTGATTACGGCAACAGGCCACATGCACTGAAGCTGACAGGTTCTGAACCTGAGAAAAACAAATTAGACTTATTTAATTTATTAAAAATGCATAGGAAGCATTATCAAATATAAAATGGTAATTAATTTTATATAAATTATAATCATATATAAAACATTAGTGTGTCCTAAAATGTAAAATATTGATCTGTCTTAATGTTTATTCAAATTTCTACTGTCTTTAAAAATTCTGTACTTTTATTCTTTGATTTTCATTTTCTAAAAATCAAGAAAACCATTTTATATCTCTTAAGCTATTTATAGCTTTTCAAGTATGTACTTATGAGCAGAATCTGAAACATGTATTTTTTCTCCCTCCTTAATTTCTCTAAAATTTAAAAGCAATTTGTAAATATTCTTTTCTTTTTTTATTTTTAGAGACAGAGTTTCACTTTGTCACCCTCAGTAAAGTGACATGGCATCACAGCTCATGTCAACATCCAGTTATTGGGTTTAGGTGATTCTCTTGCCTTAGCCTCCCAAGTAGCTGGGACTATAGGTGCCAGCCACAATGCCCGGCTGTTTTTTTGTTGCAGTTTGGTTGGGGCTGGGTTTGAACCCACCTTGGTATATGGGGCTGGTGCCTTACCCACTGAGCCACAGGTGCTACCCAAAAGCCATTTGTAAAAATTCTTAATTTCTACAGTTATTTGCATAAGTTCAATAAGACTCTGTTTTATTCTATAAAATAATAAAGCACTGGTTAATTTACCAAGGCTTTTTGTGGAACAGCATTTCCAGAAATATCCAGATTGCACTAAGAGATTAAAGTTGACTTTATAAAGCCAAAAAAAAAAAAAAAGCCCTTTGAAAAAGGAATTGGCTGGATACCCATCAATAATGTTTCCTGATCTGTGGTAAGTAATGAAAGTAACTTCCTAACAGGTCTGGGAATCAAAATGTGCTTGGGAACCTCAAGAGAAAAAAAATTTACCCAATACATACAGGTATCTAATGGCACAGATGAAACCTGGGCTTGTAAAATGCTTCACAACCAACTGAAATCTCTTATAAAAGATTCCAGCAAAGCCAAAATGATGGTGTGTTCTTTGGAGCCTCTGATTGGAGATGCAGGGGAAAGAACTGCAGACAGAATGATAATTGAAGGGAGGCCGAGACTCGCTCTGGTTGGCGGCCTGGCTAAACTTTACTGATTATCTTATATACTTTCAAACATTCAGTAAGAATTTAACACATATACAAAGAAGTCAAGTAACATTAGGAAGCTACCATTGAAGATTACAGTTTAGTGTGAAGGCTGAGGAACACATATACAATTGATTTTGTTTAGAGTAAAAACATAAGAGAGACTGGCTGTCTGTCATTGCTAGCCCAAACTGAACTAAGGATTATGATGTTAATGAAGAGAGAAGGCAGAGAATAGAACCCAATGCTCGAAGACTGGTATGTTCACCCCAGCTGCGACCCCAGCTGATTCTCCATAATTCCTTGACAAAGAGAGCTTTCTGCATATTTCTGCATATCTATAGGCAGGTACAGAAGCTCGATCTTCAAAGAAATGCTTCTCAGAATCAATCTCCTGGAGGACCACATTGAAGCAAACTGCCATGTCTGAGCAAGGGGAGCTTATCTCCTACACCAAAATAAAGAGAGCCTAATAATTAATTATTCTTACTGCAGTCTATGCAAATAGGCCCAGTATGCTGAAAATACAGTTTATTTTAGCAACTAATTTGATGAAAAGGGAAATTGGAAAGAAAAAAAATAGTTCAAGAAAAAAAAAAGAAAAAGGCTATGGCCCACCTGTATTAAATCCCAGACTCGCCTAAATGAAACTAAAAGACTGACCAAAAAGTATAAAATTATGTACAGTAGTGTTATAGTTGCTCATCCCCTAGTTTAAGTTGCTACTTTAGTTTAACAGGAAAAATGCAAATAAAGTAAAATACATAAACAGAACCATAAAAGTAGAAATTGATAAACTCTGCCAGAAACCAAAGCTTACTTAAATATGAGGCTTGCCACTGATATTGTTTAAAGAAGTCTTTGTCAAAAACCACTGAAGTATTTAACCATGTTCTATTTAATCTTTTACATCTGTACATTCTTTCGCTCTGAAAAAAATCAAGGGAACTCAAATGTCAACCCCACCACAACCTTCAGGCTGGCCCCCACCAACTATCCCCAGCTGTGTGCCAGGACGACCTGAGTCACCCCCAAGAGCCTGTGACTCCCAGCCCTTCCTCCATGGAGGGGCCTGCAGAGAGTGGTACTCTGGCAGGAACTTCTCCTGCAGCTACCCTGCCATAGGGCAACCCCCTGCCACATACTGCCCGAGGGTAGGACTAAGTGCAAGTACCCTTTGGGATGTGGGGGTGCTCTCTGCCAGACAATCTTAGAGCTGGACAACACATGGCCCCTCCTGGCTGACTTCAATAACTTCTCCTACCTAAAACTAAAAAGCTTACACACCTTTGGGCGAGACCTGAAAAAAAAAATGAAGCTGGAGATGATGTTTCTGACTCCTTTCCCCAGCAGCTTACTCTTCTACAATGGCTAGAAAACAGACAACTTAATCCTAGTCAGAAAAAGGCTGCACTAGTGAGAACCCCTCCTCCTCCTCTTACCCACTACCAACCCCTCCCTCGTGATTCAAATGAATCAAAGGTTTGATTCCCTGAAAAGACCAGTGGGGAATGAAATGGGAAAGTTCTCAGCCCGCCCCCTACTCCAGGAATGGGCAGGTTGTCACTCTGCCTCCTTCCTCCTTCCTCCCTCCCCCCAGAGTGGACCCTGGGAACAGGACAAGTTCCCAGCCCACCTCCCTCCTTCTCCTCCCCCCTCAGAGGCAATTCTAAGAACAGGCTTCAGAAAAAAGAAGCACAAAAAATCCCAAATTCAAGTTCCCCGTGAACAATGGTGGAAATTTACCCAGATTGTAACTCTCAAGCTGTAACCCCCCTGCCCTGAGCTAAGCAGCCATGTCTTGCTTCTATAGCATGCCTGCTCAAAAATTATATAAGGCAAGCTGCTCTCTACTGGGGCAGACTGTCTCAGAGCAGCAGTCCCCTGGGCAGATTCAATAAATCTCCAATTGATTACACTTAAGTGGGGTCCGAGTCTATACTTTCAGGTTGCAGGGGTACAACATTAGTTTTTGAAGCAGCAATTTTTCATGTCATGAATTCTCCATTTGATCTAAGAAGAGATGTTGATTTTCCATTTGTTCACCTTTTTTCTAGTTGTTAGGATGGGTCTTGTGTTATGTCTTCTAAGCTTCTTTCATGTTAGACCAAAACTGGAATCTAATTTTGTCTCCTGGTTTCATGTTCTCTATCTGTAAAATAAAGGGCAATAGCTTGGTGCCTGTTGCTCAGTGGTTAAGGCGCTGACCACATACACTGAGGCAGGTGGATTTGAACCCAGCCCAGGCTTGCTAAACAACAATGATAACTGCAACAACAACAAAAAAATAGCTGGGTGTTGTGGCAGGCGCCTGTAGTCCCAGCTACTTGGGAGGCAGAAGCAAGAGAATCACTTAAGCCCAAGACTTTGAGGGTTCTGTGAGCTGTGACACCATAGCATTCTACTGAGGTGACATAGTGAAACTCTGTCTCAAAAAAATAAAAAATAAAGGCAACATCACTCATTGACAGCTAATTGCCCCTCTTGACTATAGCATTTTGTTGAGTCCATAAGCACTGACTTTACGAATGACTATGCCAATGTGTGACATTTCTTGCCTTTCCTCTTTAGGCAGACCTTCAAGTGGACAAGGAGAGGCATAATTTCTTTGAGTCCTCTCTTGATTATGTTTATCAAATCCAAGAAGTTCAGGAGTCCAAGAAGTTCAATATTGTAGAACCTGTAAGTTGTCTCTATTGATGAATGTTGTAAGGTTATTTACCAAATGTCTATAAATGTGTAAAAACTTGTTCATAAAATGTGTTTCTCAAAAAATGTGAAAAATAATTAATGTTTAATAATAAATATCAAGAATGTGGTTACAGTGACTTAAGTATTTTTTGCTCTCTCACTAATACTCCTTCCCTCTCTCCTCACCCTATTTGTCTCTATTTTTTTTAGAGAGTCTTACTATGTTTATTTTATTTTTGAGACAGAGTCTCACTTTGTCACCATTGGTAGAGTGGCATGGCATCACAGCTCAAAAGTCCTGGGCTCAAGTGATTCTCTTGCCTCAGTCTCTCAAGTAGCTAGGAATATAGAAGCCTGCCACTATGCCTGACTGTTTTTTTTTTTTTAATATGGAATGCTTCACGAATTTTCATGTCATCCTTGTGTTGTTGTTGTTGTTGTTGTTTTAAATATGGAACGCTTCACAAATTTGCATGTCATCCTTGTGCAGGGGCCTTGCTAATCTCTGTATTGTTCTAATTTTAGTATATTTGCTGCCAAAGTGAGCACATGTCTGCCTTTTTCTTGTTGCAGTTGTCATTGTGGTTAGCTGGCCCAGGCTGGGTTTGAACCTGCCAACTTTGTTGAACCAGCCAACTTTGCTGTATGTGGTTGGACCACTGTGCTATGGGGTCCAACCCAGAGTCTTACTATGTTGCCCTCAGTAGAGTGCTGTGGTGTCACAACTCACAGCAACCTCAAACTCTTGGGCTCAAGTGATTCTCTTGCCTCAGCCTCCTGAGTAGCTGAGAGTACAGGCGCCTGCCACTATGCCTGGCTATTTTTTTTGCTGTTGCAGTTTAGCAAGCCTGGGCTGGTTTTGAACCTGGTAGCCTTAGTGTATGTGGTCAGTGCCGTACCCACTGAACTCTGACTATATTTTTATTTCCTCTTTTCCCCCCTGTTTTTTCCTCCCTCTCTGAATTTCTCTGACATTCTTTGTATTACCTTATTTCCCTCTCTGCCTTCTCATGCTTTCAGAAATCTTCTGAAAGTGCCTCTCATGTACCAGGTAATATGCAAGGAGCTCATATATTTTGTACTTAATGATCTCCTATCCTATTATTTTACTTGTGTCTTGTGCAGGATTTTTTTCACTTTAGTCCCTTTATTTTATTATAATTGCTGATCTGCCTTTATTTTATAAATATACTGAAATTCAATAATTTTCTTTTTATTATAAAAATACAGTCATTGCAGAAAAAGAAAAAACTCATAGGAAAAGCAAAAGAAACATAAGGAATCCTTTAATTCAGAGTCAATCACTGTTAATATTGTATCACTTTCACTTCCAAATTCTGTGTCTCTCTCTATATCTTTATATGTGTGTGCATGTGTACACTTGTATGGGCGTGCGTGTGTACACATGTGCATATTTATATAATGTATATGAGCATGTATATCTGTGTACATGTGTATCTGTCTTTTCATTTGTGTATATGTCATATACACATATATATAGGCAAAGAAATGTATATTTTATCATGAACAAGTAAGACTTAGTTTTTCTTTTAATCAAGACTATATTCGCATGGGTTAGAGGGAAAGAAGGATTTGTGTAAGTAAAATAATTGAAAATCGTGATGAGAACTATAAAGAAAACCAAAAAGGATGAAAATAATACAGCAAAAATGGGTGGCTAATTTAAATCAAATTGTTCAAGGAAGACCTCTGAATGAACCACTGAAGATGAGGTCTAAAGTAAGAGAAGTTGCAGCTATGGGAATAGTGGGGACATAACATACTATGTACACAGAAAGACATGTAAGATTGAATGGTGTGCTTGAGGAATTAAAATTTTAGTATCTTTAGATACTGGTAAGAGAAAAAAGGAGTGATAGGAGATAATGTCTGATTGGAGGGTATAGAAAGTATAGGCATAGTAAGGGGTATAGTATTTTAGTTGACATACAGTTGAAAACCACTGTATGGTATTAAACAGGGTATGACCTGGGCTGATTTTGCAGTGGGGAGAATTTCTGGGAAGGGGCTGAGAGTGGAAGGGAGGAAACCAGTAAGGAGGCTAGTACAGTGTCTAGACAAGAGGAAATATTGGGTTACATTCAGGTAGTGGCAGTGGGAAAAGTTAAACTTGTATTGGAGATATACATAGTATTTTAGAGGCAGACTTAACGGGAATTACTAACAGATATGATGAATGGAGGAGAAATTGGGGATGTGTCTTTAGTTTCTGGCTTGAATGACTGAGTGGGTCATTTCTTACAATGGAGAAGTTGTGGTGAGCAAAAAAATGTTTTAGCATTGTTCACATATCTCTACACATTCTCACGAATGTATATGTTATATAGTTTTTATGTGTGTATGTATGTTATATACGTATGTATATAGTTTGTACATATATATTTATTTAGTGTGTGTATGCCTATTCTTATTTGTTTACCTATTTGTTTTCTAAAGATAACAGTTTTTAGTGTAACCTATTACTTAGCCAGTATGGAACATTATTTAAAAAATATGTATAATTTGATAACTACAAATTATATATTCTTTTCTCTTTATATGTACTTGATATGGGCTTGAACATTTTAAACATTTAATAAATATATTATCAATCATTTGTGTGTCTTTCACAGCCCCATGCAACTTTTTTGAATTTGAATATTGGGTCAGCGTGTTTTGGCTATTAGTATTATGGCACTCTTCATTAAAGTAGAGAATTTGACTTCATTAATTGATCCATTTACTTATTCATTCATTCATCATGTATTTATTGAGGACTTTATTATATGCCAGTCCTGAGGATAGATATAGAAAAGACACAGTCCATTCCCACACTTTGCAAATGATGAATGGATTTGTCTGATATATGAAGAAGTTCTGGATGAATAAATTTGTTTATTCATAAATACATAGAATATAATCAAAAAGAATAAATAGTTTTTATTTTCTGAAAATGGGTCTAGGATAATTTTTTAACCTAGTATAAAAATAGGTATGTGTAGAGGTGTTTGTGTTTCCATTACTGTATTTAACATCATATTGGGTAAACTTTGTGGAGTTTCTTTTCTGAGTTCATGGCTATTTTATTTAGTTAATTAGAATTTGCTAGTGATAAAGTTATTTCTACTTGTTCTCCCTAGGTCTTGGCCTTTCTTCATAGCCTCTTCATTTCTAATAGCTTGACTGTGGAGCTCACACAGGATTTCCTTCCATACAAACAGCAGCTCCAGCTTAGTTTGCAGAATGTGAGTTTATATGTGGTTGTTTATTCCAATTGACTTTCAGCCCAGTTTCCTTTATCTTATAATTCTAGGTTAATGCAGTCTGTCAAATTTGTCTGGATATAGTGGTGTGAGTCACAGATATTTTAGTATACAGGATTGTTCTTGCTCTTCCAATTTCATCTCTCCCCTGTTTTTTTCATTGGCTACTGTTTTAACCCACTTTTTCACCCACCAGCACCTTTGTCTATCTTATATGTCTCTAATTTTTGGATCTTTCCCACATTAGAACCCAACTACAGGCTTTTTTAAGCACAGGTATCAAACTCCTTCCCTAGTCAGGACACTCTCACTGTAGATTTTATTGTAAATGTCCATTTCATGCTTTCTTTTTTTACTTGTTATTATATGAATTAAATACATTATTTGTAATGTTTTTTTCTACCTTCTTTCTCTTGCCAGTTTTTATAGTCAGCCATATAAACAGCCCTAAAGTATTTTACTCATTCAGTTATTTAACCCACATTTTATAAATGTTTATGGGTACCATGAATATTTACTGTGTTTTAGGCATTGTAAAAGGCACTGGGCATAGCATTATGATACATGTAACTTTTTCTTTTTCATAAAGGCATATACTGCTTTATGGAGGCGAGACATAAATACAGATAAATCTCAATTCATTATGATAAGTAGTACAGTAGAGTCAAGGCAAATTTTTTTAAAATGCATAGAGAATTGAATAATTGGCTGCCTGGTACTATCAGGGAAGGCAACACTGAGTTGGTGACTTTGAATTGGTTATTATATTATATGAAATTTATAGATGCATTTTTTTTTTTTTGAGACGGAGCCTCAAGCTATCCTCCTGGGCAGAGTGCCATGGCATCACGCTCACAGCAACCTCCAACTCCTGGGCTCAAGCGAGTCTCCTGCCTCAGCCTCCCAAGTAGCTGGGACTACAGGCGCCCGCCACAACGCCTGGCCATTTTTTGGTTGCAGCCATCATTGTTGTTTGGCGGGCCCGGGCTGGGGATTCGAACCCGCCACCTTAGGTGTATGTGGCTGGTGCCTTAGCTGCTTGAGCCACAGGCGCCGAGCCTATAGATGCATTTTTAGATGAAAATTTTGTTAAATTATAGTGGAAATCAGCCTCACTTGGATGTTTAGGAGGATTGTGACTTATAGTTGTTAATTTTTTTCTTGAGATACATTATCCTCCTTTCTGGGTATTGTGCTTCACCAAACGTGAACATCTCTATTCTCTATTGCTTTACAAAATCTTCCTGCAACCAAGTTAATCACTTGAATCTTCTGTTATATGTAACTTGACATGTATGAGTTTAACAACAAACCTTTTTTTTGTTTGTTTTTACATATACATGTGTTTATCAGGCTTCCACTTTTTGCCTTTACAAAATTGAACAGGCTTAAAATTTGATAATAATAACAATGTTTAAGATAAGGAATAGAAACAAAAACCTTGTAAAGAACAAACAAAGATAAATACATTCAGAAAAGAAATCAGATGATAAATACATTCAGAAAAGAAATCAGATAATTGCTGCATCAAAATATTAAGTGATAATTATAATAATAATAATGCAAAGAAAGTAGCATTCACATCGTCAAATAAGAGTATGACTATTATAGAATTCTTTGACTCTGAGGTTCAGTATGGAGTCATCAGTTAACTTATTATTTTTTTCGAAATTATCAAAAAATAAACTACTAATAATTATAAATAAATAACAACAAACCTTTTTATGTATATATATGGCTGATACATTTACAAGAAAATTACAGCATAAGTCAACCAGATTGAGCAGCACTGAATACCTTATTCACTGATATTACATGATAGATTTTAGGCTAATGATTAAAAACATCTCTCATCATTTTCACATCTACATCTTGCCTTGTGTTTCCATTGTATACCTTTAAACAGATTTCTTCTCACTATTAGCCTTTTTGTTTGTGAGTATGAAAACATAACTTTACTGGGATTTCTTCAAAGAAAATACCCTATAATTTATTTTTATGGCCACAATTTGATTCAGTGTTATCTAGGCAGTAACTGTATTTGAGACACAACTTAGAAGTTACCATGATAATATTATCTTTGGTAATGAGATTTCTCTACCATTTCCCTTGTAAAGACACAGTCAGTCTGGTGATTGTAATTCTATGAGTCCTTATTCAATCACACCATATGAATCCCATTAGAAAAAAAATCTCTCAGTTGTGGTTTCATGAGTTTGTTACTAATTATATTTGTTTCCCTTCTAGTCTTTAGTGTTATTAATTTGTTTAATTTTTTTTCTGTCACTATGCTATTCATTTGTTTTTTGCCATGTTGCAGTACATACTATTTAAGTATAAAAAACTCTATACTAAGTCTCTCTCTGATGAATAATACTTATTGATGATGATGGATGATGATTGTGATTTTGATGATGGTCTTTTGACAGACAAGGAATCATTTCTCCAGTACCCGGGAAGAGATGGAAGAACTTAAGAAACGGATGAAAGAAGCTCCCCAGACATGCAAACTTCCAGGACAGCCCACCATTGAAGGCTATCTATATACACAAGAAAAATGTGTGTATGGGGACACCATGGTATCCACTGGGTTTCAGTAGGCTGGTACTTACTATATCTAGTACTTACAGTAGGCTGGTACTTACTTGACCTGAATTCTGGGCATCTATATTGTTACTAATAATGAAGGTCTGATAGCTACAACTTCTTGGAGCACTGGCTACAGATAGTGAATAGAAAAGGAAGGAGAAATTGAGGGAAACGTAAGGATTTATATTACAAATGTTCTGGGATGAGTTGACTTAAGGTTTTGCTGAGATGAAAAATGGGGATTGTTAATTGTTAATCTTTTTCATTCCTTTTTTACTGGAGCAAAAGAGAGGTAGACAAAAGGAGGTATAAAAATACTGTGTGCCAGGCATGGTGCTAAGTAATTTAAACACGCTATTTCATATAATCTTTGAAACCATTTGTTTTATACATGAGGTCATGAGGTTACCAAGGTTCATCATTTGAAATTCACTCATTAAGAAAGTGGCAGGCTAAAGGTTGAATTCAAGTCTATAAGGTGCCAAAACCCATGCTCCTACCACTATATCCTATTCCATCCACTGGAATAGGATTTAGGATCACCTGGTTGTTCTTAAAGCACTTGCTGACTATATATTGATTTCAGTCACTAGGGCAGTATTTGTTGTTCACTGCTAAACAAAGAAAATGAATTAACTCACTCAGTCACTGAATGTTGCAAACAATTCAACCTTTCTTACTTCTTGATTAACAATATGCAAACCTGTATGTGCTATTTGATTCCTTTTTGTAGTTTGGCCTTTTACTCACAAATCCTGAGGTTACAGTCCCTGCTAAGGATTATGACACCTGGGGAATCAGCAGAAGATACAAAGTCATATGTTAATAGTGACAAAAGTCACTGCAGTTCACAAAGAATGTCATTTCAGCAGTGAAATTATCATGCTTCTCTCCCCTTAGGCCAATTGACTTTTTATTGTTTTCACAGAAGTCTTCTCCCTTTTCCCTTATTCATTTCTTCTACTGTGTATTGCTGAGTTTCTCAATCTCATTGCTATTGACATTTCTGCCTGGATAATTCTTTATTTTGTACTGGATCATGTGCATTATAGTCTGTTTATCAGCATCTCTGGTCTCTCCTCACTTCATTTTAATAGCATTCCCCAGGTGTGAAAACCTAAAATGTCCTCCACTCTTGTCTCCAGTTGAGAACCACTGCTAATGCTCTGGCTACCTTTTCTATTTTTCAAATGAGTATGATATTGCTGTTCTTTCGAATGTATGCTTAGAGAGCATTATTTCTGCCAGATATCATAGAATGAATTTGAGATACAAAAAAGTAAATGTCAGTCAACTATGATTTTTGTCCTGGATAAGTTCACAGTCTGATATTGAAGCATATTAATAATTATAAGGAAATGTGTGGAGCACTTTAATTGACCATACATTTGAAGGGCTTCTCTGAGGTAGTTGGTAATTGAACCAGAATTTGAATGATGAGTGTGAGTTTCACAGGTAAAGAAAAACGGGAACGGAATTCCAGGCATACAGCACTACATGTGGAAAGGTACAGATGTGGGAAAGACATGGATTATCTGTAGGGTCCTGATGTGCCAAGAATAGTTTTGTTTTATACCTCTTTTCCTGGTATAATTATTAATAATACTGTTCCATTGAGTGGTTATTAAGTTTTTGGTTTGTAATATGAATTATATAGATGTCTGCTTATGTAGGTACAGGAAGTATTTAATTGAGTTAGGAACATAGAAGGAAGGCTTCCAAAAGACAAAGCTGGAAAGTTAAGTTTTCATTAAATTATCATGGGATTGTAGGCAGGCTAAGAATTTTGGAGATATGTGTAAGGCCATACATGAAACTGTGGAGACCTATAAAGTCATAAGTGAATAAGTGGCCCCTGAGAAAAACATAGTGATATATTAAGTAATATTCCTCTAACAAAAGAATACAGGCTGGACTGAAAAAGTTTAATCAGAGGTGGGGAACTGGAGACAAGGCCTCTGAAATGGATGATTGAACAAATAGTGAATTTTTATTCTATTTGTAGTAATCTCATAACATTAAAAAAATAAGACAGCCTGTAATCCTAGCACTTTGGGAGGCCAAGGTAGGTGGATTGCCTGAGCTTAAGAGTTTGAGACAAGCCTGAGCCAGAGAGAGACCTCATTTCTAAAAAAGCAAAACAACAACAACAAAAAATGGGTGTTATGGTAGATGCCTGCAGTCCTAGCTACTTGGGAGGCAAGAGAATCACTTAAGCCCAAGAGTTTGAGGTTGTTCTGAGTTGTGATGCCATTGCACTCTACCAAGGGTGACAAAGTGAGACTGTCTCAAAAAAAAAAAAAAAAGACAGCACTAGGGTCTTTAAAATTTACTGCTAGAATGGATGGAGAGGAGAAAGCAGCTGAACAAGAGACATGTAGGACATAAAGAGGTCAGAATCCAATGACCAATCAAATAGGACATGTTGCAGGGGAAGTAGGAGCAGGTGACAGAAATATCCAGTGTCTGGGATATTTGATAATACTTTCTTTTTCTTTTTCTTTTTTTTTTTTTTGAGACAGAGTCTCACTATGTCACCCTCGGTAGAGTGCTGTGGTGTCACAGCTCACAGCAACCTCAAACTCTTGGGCTTGAGCAATTCTCTTCCCTCAGCCTCTCAAATAGCTGGGACTACAGGCACTGGCCACAATGCCCGGCTATATTTTTGTTGGATTTGTCATTGTGGTTTAGCTGACTTAGGCCAGGTTCAAACTCACCAGTCTAGGTGTATGTGGCTGGCACTATAAGCACTGTGTTATGGGCACCGAGCCTTGATAGTACTTTTATTCGGAAATATGGTAGGGAGATTTGATTTGGAGCAAGCCAGGAGCAAATGTGGAAAGCAGTCTGTGAAAGTTATAATTTTTTTTTTCAGTTTTTGGCCAGGGCTGGGGTTTGAACCCACAACCTCCCATATATGGGGCCAGCACCCTACTCCTTTGAGCCACAGGCACTGCCCAAAGGTTATAATCTTTTTATGTGAAGATGACTTTTTAAGGCTAGAACAAAGGGCATGAGCAAGGCTGGGTGGAGAGTTCGAATGTGAGGAGAAAACTGTAAAGAGCTTCTATCTTATGGTTTGAGTATACAGCTAAAATAATTATATTCTGTCAGCTTACTTTTGCCTGTCTTTCTAGGGGCTTTGGGCATATCCTGGGTGAAATACTATTGCCAGTATGAGAAAGAGACCAAAACACTTACCATGACACCTATGGAGCAGAAGCCAGGTGCTAAGCAGGTCAGTTCTTGTTTTTGCCCCATTTTTGGAGATGTATCTGTTACTTCATCTCAGCAAACAATATACATAGATTTATTGTCTAATAATTCTGCCATTGTCATGTGCATGAGTTAGTGTGTTTTCCATGGCATATGTTTGCATTTGGTCAGATACCACTCAGTTGTGTGAACATCTCTATCTTCATCATGTAAGGCCTTCTGTGGGTGCCTGTAACTCTTTCAGACCACTTATTATTACAAATGCCTGTTATATTGTACAAATAAAATATGCAAAATTATGGATTCTTTTTTTTTAAACAATCTTACTATGTCGCACTCAGTAGAGTACTGTGGTGTCACAGCTTACAGCAACCTCAAATTCTTGGGCTTAAGTGATTCTCTTGCCTTAGCCTCCCAAGTAGCTGGGACTACAGGCACCCACCACAATGCCTGGTTATTGTTTTTCTTTTATTGCAGTTGTCATTGTTGTTTAGCTGGCCCGGGCTGGGCTTGAACCTGCTAGGCTTAGTGTATATGGCTGGCACTGTAACTACTGTGCTACAGGCGCCAAGCCAGGATTCTTTTGTTTTAAGAAGTTTCTCCTCTAGGATTCTTTCAACTAGCAAAGTTTTGAAATACGAATTAATTTTTTTTTTGTTTTGTTTTGCAGACAGGGTTTCACTTAGTTGCACTGGGGGTAAGTGCCATGGTGTTACAGCTCACAGCAACCTCAGACTCTTGGGTTCAAGTGATTTTCTTGCTTCAGCCTCCCAAGTATCTGGGACTACAGGTGCCTGCAACAATGCCCAGCTTATTTTAGAGACGGGGTCTCACTCTTGCTCAGGCTGGTCTCAAACTCCTGAGCTCAAGCCATCCTTCCACCTTGGCCTCCTGGAGTGCTGGGATTACAGGCATGAGCCACCACACCTGGTCCTATGAATTAATTTCTAGTATTCCTTTTTAAAAAAATGGAATAGATTTGTTTCTGAAAGTTGGAATAATATACCCATATTCTATGTAATATTTATGTGTAAGTAGTTAATTTCTCTTCTTCTGCCCTCTAAAACTCGACCCTCTCTACTAAATGACAAGTTTAACACAGAGACATGATAGTTTACTCACATGGAAGAGCCTGATCTTTTATACACAAATATACAGAAAGGTTTCTTAAAATGGAAGCTGATCATCAGATTGTTTACATTCTTAACGTTTTTCAATGTATATTTCCCCCCTTTCACTGGTTTTCAGAGAGGATCTTAGTGCATGATTTTTAAGCATTTCCACTGTTTACAAATCATTTGCTGGAAGCACTTCAGGGTCTATTTGTTAGCATTTTAAGTAGTACGCGAAGACACAATTGGAGGAATTTGGAGAACAAATTCTCCATTGCTGTTGCTTTCTATGGAAGATTTGTTTTCTGTGGCTTGTTCATACAAAATTAGAGATGAGGAAGATTTTTGTTGTAAGCTGTTAACAATTAGCCCCCGCCTTTTTTCCTTAACCACAAGATCTGCCTTGAATGTGGGTGGGTAATGGGATGGACTTCTTGAGATGTTATCAAATGGGATTTCCAGAATCCACATATATGTTTTTGTCATGGGCCAATTATTCACTCATGACTTTACAAGCCTCTTCAGTTTCTAGTTTGCCACTTGCCAAAACAGTTATCCATGTGATTCCAATGCATTGATTGTGTTCTGCAGTGTAGGATTTGTTCTATGTGACTTGTATCCGACTGGGTTGCAGTCTCCTGGTTTTATTTTTCTACATATATTATTTTCCATATCCTAGGCCTGAAAGGTTCTCTAGTATAATTTAGGCACTTTCTGTCCTGCTCAGATGTGCTCATTGCAAAACCTAAGGCAGAGTCATCAGATAGTACTTTCATATCCTCCTAGAAGAAGAGAGTAAGTCCTTCGTTTTGTTTTTCTTTCCCTCTTTTTTCATTCAATGGCTGCTTGCAAAACTTCAGTGTTGTAAGGCTAAGCAGTTTTTATGTGATATTTCTTGTGGGATGGAAAGAGGAACTTGTTTCCCTATTTAGAAGGCAAAGGAAAGTGGAATGAGTTATTTGAATTTCCCCAAATGAGAGCTGGAAATTTCTTCCTTTCAGTTCTCTGACTCAGTTCCTGGTACTAGTTTGTATTTTACAGAATAGCTGTTATTTAATAGACAAAAAAATAACAGATGTTGGCAAGGATAGTAATCAAAGGGAACTTTTACACACTGTTAATGGGAGTATAAACTATTACAACCTTTATAGAAAACACTGGGGATTTTTGAAAGACCCAAAAGAAGAACAACCATTCCATCTACTAATCCCAGTACTGGATATCTACAAAGCAATAATTGTATTAAAAAGATACCTGCACTTGTATGTTTTTTTGCAGCATAATTCATGATAGCCAAAATATCAAGTCAAGCTCAGTGTTTGTCAGTGGATGACAGATAAAAAAAATGGTATATATAGTATACCATTTATACTGGAATAATATTAATGGAATAATATTAATCCATAAAAAGTGAATTCTTGTGTTTTGTTACAATGTGGATGTAACTGATGATTATTATTGGAGAAAGAAAAATAACTCATGTTCTTACTTACATGTGGGAGTCAAATAAGGTAGACACATGGTCATAAACTGTGGAATCATAAATGGAGACTTGGAAGAGTATGGATGTGGGAGGGGAGTGGATGATGAGAAATTACTTAATGGGTATAATATATATTATTGGCGTAATGGATAACACTAAAAGCTCTGACTTTACCACTATGCAATCTATGCATGTAAGAAAATTAGATTTGTCTATAAATTTATACAAAAACATTTTTTTTTCTTTTGAGACAGAGTCTCACTTTGTCGCCCTTGATAGAGTGCTATGGTGCCACAGCTCACAGCAACCTCCAACTCTTGGGCTTAGGCAATCTTCTTGCCTCAGCCTCATGAGTAGCTGGGACTACAGGCACCGACCACAACATCTGGCTATTTTTGGTTGTAGTTTGGCTGGGTCCAGGTTTGAACTCACCACCCTCAGTATATGGGGCCATTGTCCTACCTACTGAGCCACAGACACTGCGCAACATTTTTTTTTTTATTGTTGGAGATTCATTGAGGGTACAAGAAACCAGGCTACACTGATTGCATTTGTTAGGTTAAAGTCCCTCTTACTATTGTGTCTTGCCCCCAATAGGTGTGTCACACACTGAGACCCCCACCCCCCTCCCTCCTTCCCTCTCTCTTCTCTTCCTTTCCCCCATTCTCTCCTACCTTCTCTCTCTCTGCTCTCCCCTTCTCCCACCCTTCACCATGTACTAGGTCATTAATTATCCTTGTATCAAAATTGAATACATAGGATTGATGCTTCTCCATTCTTGTGATGTTTTAATGAGAATAATGTGTTCCACTTACATCCAGGTTAATACAAAGGATGTAAAGTCTCCACCTTTTTTAATGGCTGAAAAGTATTCCATGGTATACATATACAACAGCTTGTTGATCCATTCCCGAGTTGGTGGACTTTTAGGCTGTTTCCACATTTGGGCGATTGTGAATTGAACTGCAAGAAACAGTCTAGTGCAAGTGTCCTTATGATAAAAGGATTTTTTTTCCTTCTGGGTAGATGCCTAGTAATGGGACTGCAGGATCAAATGGGAGGTCTAGCTTGAGTTCTTTGAGGGTTCTCCATATTTCCTTCCAAAAAGGTTGTATTAGTTTGCAGTCCCACCAGCAGTGTAAAAGTGTTTCTTTCTCTCCACATCCATGCCAGCATCTGCAGTTTTGAGATTTTTGTGATGTTGGCCATTCTCACTGGGGTTACATGATATCTCAGGGTGGTTTTGATTTGCATTTCTCTGATAATTAGAGACGATGAGCATTTTTTCATATGTTTGTTAGCCATTTGTCTATCTTCTTTAGAGAAGGTTCTATTCATGTCTGTCTCTTGCCCATTTATATATGGGATTGTTGGCTTTTTTCATGTGGATTAATTTGAGTTCTGTATACATCTTAGTTATCAAGCTTTGGTCTGATTCAAAATATGCAAATATTTTTTCATTGTGTAGGTTGTCTATTTGCTTTGGTTGTTGTCTCCTTAACTGTGCAGAAGCTTTTCAGTTTAATTCAGTCCCATTTGTTTATTTTTGTTGTTGTTGCAATTGCCACAGAAGCCTTCTTCATAAAGTCTTTCCCCGGGCTGATATGTTCCAGTGTTTTTCCCTATGCATTTTTTGAGGATTTTTATTATTTCCTACCTTAAATTTAAGTCCTTTATACATCTCTAATCAATTTTTGAGAGTGGAGAAAGGTGGGGGTCCAATTTCACTGTTTTACACATGGTTATCCACTTCTCCCAGCACCATTTCTTGAATAGGGATTCTTTCCCCCAGTGTATGTTCTTGTTTGGTTTATTGAATAGTGGGTGGTTGTAAGATGTTAGTTTCATTTCCTGGTTTTCTATTTGATTCCAAATGTCTATGTCTCAATTTTTGTTCCAGTACTATGTAGTCTTGACCACTATGGCCTTGTAGTACAGCGTAAAATCTGGTATGCTGATGCCCCTGGCTTTGTCTTTATTATTAAGATCTGCCTTAGCTATACAAGTTTTTTTCTGGTTCCATACAAAACATAGAATCATTTTTTCCAAGTCTTAAAAGTACGATATTGGTATTTTAATAGTAATAGCATTGATATCTGTAGCATTGAATCTGTAGATTGCTTTGGGAAGTATAGACATTTTAACAATGTTGATTCTTCCCAGACATGAGCGTGGTATGTTCTTCCATTTGTTAATATCCTCTGCCATTTCCTTTCTTAGGATTTCATAATTTTTTTTATAGAGGTCCTTCACCTCTTTTGTTAAGTATATTCCTAGGTATTTCATTTTCTATGGGGCTATGGTGAAGGGAGTTGTGTCCTTAATTAGCCTCTCATCTTGGCTGTTATTGACATATACAAAGGCTATTGACTTGTGGACATTGATTTTATATCCTGAGACATTACTGTATTTTTTGATGACTTCCAG